TGAATTATCTTCTCACACAGGTTGAGTCCCTTCTCTGAGTTTACTGCCTGGTCCTCCAAGGGGAACTAGGGCTCCTGCTTTTAAGGATCTCACATTTCAGCAATAACCCCTTTCTTTCCCTAGGGCTCTGTCCATGATTGGCCTGGCCCTGATAGCCCTAGGCACTGGAGGAATAAAGCCCTGTGTGTCTGCGTTTGGTGGAGATCAGTTTGAAGAGGGCCAGGTAAGAGCATGTGACTTTCAGAAACCACACAAATGAATTATGAACACCCAGGAATCAAATTCCACCCGCACAAAGTCTGTTCTCCATTAGATTCTTTTCAAGTACACTTGAAAGTAGGATACTGACCAAACTAAGATGTGAAGTCCGATCACCAGCTACATTGGATCAGTGGATAGATAGCCAAAGTCATCATACTTTCATTTTACCCTTTTTATTACAGGAAAAACAAAGAAACAGATTTTTTTCCATCTTTTATTTGGCCATTAATGCTGGAAGTTTGCTTTCTACTATCATCACTCCCATACTCAGAGGTAAAAAATATCTGAAGGGGACTTGTGTTTTTCTTTTTTTAATTGTGGGGAGAAAGTCAGGTGAAAGGTTAAGTCCTGGTTTTGTCCCTCTGTTCTCTCATGTACTTCAGCTGTCAGATACGTACTGAGTATACACTGAAATCCAGAATATGAGCTTCTTTTCTTTCAAGTTTTATCTCCTTTTCTAATCTTATTTGAATCCCTTATCCCAATGACCACTGAAGAATCTAAAACATCCTTAGCAGAGCAATCAATTTTTCTAAATTATTCCTAATGCAAAGTCCTTATTTCTGGTAAGAGATAGGGCAAGGGAGGCTGTTTGGAAACCATACGTGGATGGGCCATAGATGACATTTCTGCCTTCGAGCTTTGCTCCCCAATGATGTTCGGTGAGTTAGGAAGAATTTAGTGGGCAAGGCTTTATTCTTTGCTTTCCTGTCATCTCAGATATTTCTAAAAGCACTGCCCCCAAGAAAGAAAATGAGACAGCAGCTATCAACAGCACTCAGATTTTTGTGCTTGCTAACGCTCCATTGAGAGTTTGTGAATTTCCCATGAGGAAGGGAATATCTAGGGACAAATTAGACCAAAACAAGACCGTGATATCTATACCGTGAATCAGATTAAATTACAAAATAAAATATTTTGTGGGGATTTATGTATTTCTGCATAGTGTAGTAGCTTGAAGATGATACTTAAACCCTATTCCAACTTGTTTTGCATAAAATTTAATAGCTTTTATTCTTGCATTATGTTCCCTCACCTCCCGCACCTCCAGGTTCTACTAGAATATGTACTGTGCAATTAGAGAATGTGTTAAAGGATAATTTTTTTAAAGGTAAAATCATGACGCTCATACAAATATAAAATGAGCATGTGACAAAGATTTTATATAACCATAACTTATTAACTGATGAGGGAACTGGAAAACTGATACAATAAGTTCAAATAAGGATTTGTCTAACAGAGATTTGTATTCTTTACAGGGGGAAAGATCATCTTGCATTGCCATGAACAGGAAACGTTTGCATGACTATCAGTTTTCTACTAGTTAACTTCTTACTCTACAGAACTGTGAAATAGCTAGTCAAAGGCAAAGTCAGACCACTGTAGATCATTCTTTGTAGGCTCCACATTCCTTTGAAAGGATTTCCAGCAATCTCTGTGGCCCCTTCCAAAGTCTTAATTTTTTTCCTTACCAACCCTAGGATTTCAGAGCTAAAATAGATCCCCAGTCAGAGGTTGGCAAACTATGGCCCATGGGCCAAATCCAGAAATCTGGACAAGACCATCCATTGGTGTATTGTCTGTGGCTGCTTTCGCCCCACAAAGGCAGGGTTGAGTAGTTGGGACAGAGACTGAATGGTCCACAAAGCCTAAAAACTTCACAGAAAAGTTTGTTGGTCCCAGCCCTCAGTCATCTAATTATTCCCTAATTGGCATGAATTCAGGAACATATAAGCTTGATTTTACAGAGCACTTTTGATTTTGTTTACTGAGTCCTACTCTCTTCAAGTTATTGTATCCAGGTCATTTTTATCTCCTCCATGAAGAAAATCCACAGAACATAGTGTTCCCACTGATTTTGGCTTGGCTAGTATCAGACATGTATGGGGCTAAGATTAGAACCTGTCTCCACCTCCTGCTCTTTCTACTACAAAGCTGCTTTGCTCAGCTGGCAATGACATCAATAAGGCAAATGGATAAGTCTAGAACATTGAGTGAAAACAATATGTAATAGCCAGTTAGAGATTTTTAAAAATGGGAACTATATGAGCATTACCAATGCCATAATGAATTTTACTCTTGTAATTTCTCTCCAGTTCAACAATGTGGAATTCACAGTAAACAGTCTTGTTACCCACTGGCATTTGGAGTTCCTGCTGCTCTCATGGCTGTATCTCTGAGTAAGTAGAAGTCAGCTGAATTAATACAATCCTGTGATCAGGTCAGACTGTCACATTAATTATTGTGACCAAGTTTTAAAAGTTCATGTAACGGGGGCCAACCCCATGGCGTAGCGGTTAAGTGTGTGCGCTCCGCTGCTGGCGGCCCGAGTTCGGATCCCGGGCGCGCACTGATGCACCGCTTGTCAGGCCATGCTGTGGCGGCGTCCCATATAAAGTGGAGGAAGATAGGCACAGATGTTAGCCATCTTCCTCAGCAGGGCCAGTCTTCCTCAGCAAAAAGAGGAGGATTGCCATGGATGTTAGCTCAGGGCTGACCTTCCTCACAAAAAATAAAAGTTCACATAACAAATTGTAATAATTAGTATGAAGACTTGCCATCCCATGTTTAACATGCTCTGAGAATTCCAAGAAAGTAGAGTTGGCGTATTGTTTCAGAGGGAATAGGATCAAAAAAGGGTTTACAGGAGAAGGAATCAATTGAGTTGGACATTAAAGGCTTGATACTATTTAGGCAGATTAAGATGAAGGTGATAGAATCTGCTAGACTAGATGAACCTATGGCTGAAAGCATTTGTTCTTGTCAACTTGTGCTCATCTACAACTTGCTTGAAGACATGGTAGCCCGGTCCAATTGTTGTTTAAATACTTCAGTGAACATCTAGATTTCCATAATATATCATCCCAAAATTTTTCTACTAGAATATCTTCCTTCTAGGAGGAATGTATGTGTATATTAGATGTATTCATTGCACGTTAGTTCTTGGCACTGGCTTTTTAGGAAGTGTGAAGAGGTTTCTACATGGGGTAGTCTAGCTTGAAAGATGGTAGGTGTCTTCGTTTCCTAGGACTGCCATAAGAAAATAGACTGAGTGTCTTCAACAGCAGAACTTATTTATGGTCTCACAGTTCTGGAGGGTGTAAGTCCAAGATCAACACATTGGGAGGGCCATGCTCCCTCTGAAGGCGCTGGGAAGGATCTCTTCCAGGCCTCTGTCCTACCTCTGGCACTTCCCTGGCTTGTGGCAGCATAACCCCAATCTGCCCCTGGCCTTCCCCCTGTGTGCACATCTGTGTCCAAATTTCCCCTTTTTATAAGGAGACAGTCATATTGGAGTAGGGTCCACCCTAAGGACCTCATCTTAACTCGATCATCTGCAAAGATTGTATTTCCAAATAAGATCACCTTCTGAGGTACTGGGGATAAGGACTTCACCATCTTTTTGGGGGACAGTTCAACCTATAACAGTAGGGCAAGAAGGAAGCAGAGCCCAATAACCATCTCAAGCCTTCATAGCCTCCCACTCAAATGAGGTTGCAGTCAGCACTATCAGTTTCTCTGATGGTTTTTTTTCGGTTCTTGATATTATCGAGTCTGCCCCCTTTTTAACCTCTTTTGCTCACATTGTAGCAATTCATCTTTATCCTTATGCAAGAGCTCAGAATTCTCCCCTTTATATATGTCCATTTTCTTCCATAATTGTTTAAATACTGCCACATTCCCCTAAAAGGCTCATCTATGCCTTCTCCTTTCTAATTCTGGGTAAGGACATAGAGAGGATTTCAAAAACTGTTGTTTTAGGCCAGACACTGTGTGAAGTTGACACTGTGTGAGACTAAATTCTCATTTAGTCTGTACGAGTCATTCTTACATCAAAGATTATGCTTTTTCTTACAGAGGAATTGAGAACAGGCCAAACCCTATGCCATCTGCAACAATCTTATGCTTGAATTAGGCTTCAGTTATTCAGAAGCTTAAAGATTAAAATATTAGTTGGGAAAAAAAATATAGATTCAGTCTATTGGGCAGTGAGGAAGATTGGCGTTGGGTGAGAATACAACTTCTCTGTCTTCAACTATAAAGAACATCTACAATACAGGCACATAAGTGGAGATATGCTTGCGAGTTGGCACCTGTCAAAGTCTCAGACCTTCTTAATTGAGGAGAACAAGTAGAATTCAAACAATCCATCAGTGTTTTTAAATTAATGAATTGTGATATTGGATAATCAGAAATCCTAGTATAGGAATGGTGTTTTCAGCGTCTCTTGCAGAAATGCTTTCTTCTAAGGTATTTTCACAGAATGCCTTTTCTAAGAAGGTCCTTGGAAGAATTGCCTCATTGTAAAAGTGCTTTTGCTTTTGTAAAACTGTAGCTGCAGATGCAAATAATTGTAGCTGTCTTTCTGTATTATGATCACAGAATAAATTCTGCCGCACATGATTAAGTAAAAGTTTCAACAGGTTGTTTCCTATTTTTTTCTGAAGATTTTTTTTTAAAAAGAAGAAACTTTCTCTTGCCATTTCAATGAGAAAACTAAAACTATGTTTTTTGTCTTTATAGAATAACACATTAATCTGTTATGTGACAGCACTTGTTCCTCTTGTGTCCCTTTACAGAGGGATAGAACTCATGCTTAAATAGCTGTACCGTCTTTGAGCTGCCCCAGGTTCTGGGACGGAGATAGGATTAGGCTTTAGTGTTCGTATATGAGAAGACAATTATAACATTACTCAGTAGCTCCTGTGATTGTCAGAATCAAAAGCACTTTCTAAACTGGGAGGTAGGTAGCTAAACCCATTCTATGAGTAATCCCAGTATTTCTAAAATAAGGTTATAACTCAAAAGCACATCTTCTAGGTCACAGATAGTTCTGTCAAATACCATGTTAACACATTCTCTTTTGCCCTATCCAGTTGTGTTTCTCATCGGCAGTCGAATGTACAAGAAGTTCCAGCCCCAGGGTAATATCATGGCTAAAGTCGTCAAGTGCATTGGTGTAAGTATTTTAGTGGCTCTCTCTTAATAACGTTTAGACACCCCAGAACCTTCTACTTCCTTTAAATTAAAATTCAGCTTTGACTTTGGACTTTGACTTTTGACTTTGAACTTTGAGGCTTTGACTTTCCTTTAAACATTTTATTAGTGTTCTTTACTATTTGGATAAATTGAAGTTTCTTATAAAACTCACCAAAGGGAAAAAGACACAAAAAGAACTCAAAAAGGAGAGGATGGAAATGGCTCTTGAATTTATAAGATCAATGGTCAAAGAAAAGCAAATCAAAGTGACTCTTCACCTATCAAAATGGCAAACAGTGTCTGATGTTCGTCAGGGAGCAGTGCAACAGAAATGGAGAGGTGTGGTTGGTGCTGCATATCAAGTGTAGAAAGGGTCAGTAATCCTACTTTTAAGAATTAAGTCTAAGAAAATAACTTTTAAAAACGAACACAGATTCACATTTGTAGATTATCAATGTAATATTGATAACAGCAAAAATGTTAAGTCCACCAAATTGCTGAAAATAAGAGAACAGTGCTTAACTTACAGTACATCTATGCTATCTTATGCAGCATCGGAAGTCTTGATTTCAAGGACTATTTGGTGATAAGAACATACAGAATATGGTTTCTTCCATATATATCTACATGGTATATGTACACAGAGGCACATTTAAAGGCAGGAAAAAACATTGAGTGTAGGAATCTTTAAATAATGGGATCAAATAACTTTTTTCCTCTATATACTCCCCATTTTTTAGTGAACATCGTATAATAGGGGGAAAATGTATCACTTATTTATTTAAAAAATACATGTGTGGATAATCTTTTGGATGAAAAGACGGCTTTAAGATAATTTTAGGTCACTTTCCTGGCTTTATTACATTAAATTATGCATCTGGACTTCACTTTGTGAAATAAATATGTCCCCTCAGGGTCTAAAAAACTCCCTTTACTTACAGCTCTTCCCTTTCCTCCTGCACTTTCCTCTAACATTAAATTGATTCCCACCAAAAAAGTTTTTTCCAAGCTAAGAGAGGATCTTACCAATGGTCTCTCCAAGTCCCTCTGTACCAAGTAATTGAGAACTTAGCTCAAACTCCAAAAGAACAACTTCAAGCTATTTAGAGTCGTGAGAATGGTATTTCCCAGTATCCTAAAACCAGCCCGTAGCTTTGAGTTATTGCCTTCTAGTCACACGCATGTCCCCAACCAGCACCACCATCCCTTTCTCTTGCTGCTATGTCATTGCAAATGCACTTTGCTTTTCCTAAAGTCCTCTTACTAACAAGGAATCTTAGAAGCCCCTAATTTTATGGTGTGTGGGTCAGTATGTTTTTCTGATCAGTGTTAGCCTATTTTAACATATGTTTAGCTATAACCTTTATTTCCTTATGAATCTAGTTCTATGTAGGGGGTTCTCCCTCTCCTTTGAGTGGTGATAGTACGTTTATTATAGACCCGTGCTGGCCAATATTGTGGCCACTAGCCAAGTGGCTATGGAACATTTGAAATGCAGCAAGTGCAACTAGTGAACAGAATTTTAAATTGCGTTTCACTTAAATTAATTTAAATTATATAATTTCTTATCAGTGTATTTCTATGTAGTAGGTTCTTTTAAATTTAAAAACTGATACTCAGTTCAGTTATTGGAAAACTTTTAAGTATGTTTGGAACAACTTAGGTATGTAAATCTAGTTTTTCAAAAGTAAATTTTATGAGATGTAAATACAAATTACATATTTCTGATAAACATTTAGCATCCAAATTGAGATGTGCCGTCCGTGTGAAATATACCTTGGATTTTGAAGACTTGGTATGAAAAAAGGATGTAAAAATCCTCATTAGTTTGTTAATATTGATTATATATTAAGATCATATTTTGGGTTTTGGGGTTAAATAAAATATATTTAAAATGAATTTCAGCCTTTAATATGGCTACCAGAAAACTTAAATTGTAAATGTGTCGTGCATTATATTTCTATTGAACACTCCTCTCTAGAGGGCATGCAGAGTAAAGTAGGAACAGCGGGACTTTGCTTACTCCAACTCAATGCTCGTAGTTAGAAAGAGCTGAGAAATAACTGCATGTTATGTCTTTTAGCATCATCCTTATACTAGTGTGTACAATTTTATATTTTCCTTCTCTCATAGTTTTCCATTAAAGGGGTTTTATTTTTTTATTTTTTTTTTTTTTAAAGATTTTATTTATTCATTTTTTTCCCCCCAAAGCCCCAGCAGATAGTTGTATGTCATAGGTTCACATCCTTCTAGTTGCTGTACGTGGGACTCGGCCTTGCGCTGGACGGAGAAGTGGTGCCTTGGGGCGCGCCCGGGATCCAAACCCGGGCCGCCAGCATCAGAGCGCGCGCACTTAACCGCTAAGCCATGGAGCCGGCCCAAAGGGGTTTTAAATGAAATGTGTTTTCCTGATAAAATAGTGTGTTCTGTTTTGATATTTGATTTTTTTTCCTTCCTTCAGTTTGCCATCAAAAATAGGATTAGGCATCGGAGTAAGAAATTTCCCAAGAGGGAGCACTGGCTGGACTGGGCCAAAGAGAAATACGATGTGAGTGATTATTATTGCTCCAGTGGTTCAGGGATCTTCCTCTAGAAAGTGGACACCCACAGTCGCAATTCATATTATTGAGGCTACATGGACAAAATTAGCAGTTGTAGCCTCGTAAACTTTATTACTATTTTAAATAAGACTATGCAAGAGTGTTTTTTTATATTGAGAAGAACTTGATAAACGATGGATGTAATTTACCTAGAAATAATATTACCCTTTCATAGGTTTTCATTTGGAACAATCTGCCATTAATTATATGTAATTGAGATCACATAACTTTAGTTTGAATATAGAAGAGTTAAGCAGTGGTAGTGGGATTTATATTTAGTGGAATTTACATTTAAATTTGAGGAATTTACCTCGCAAACAGATGTTTTGCTCATATTTTAAATAGCTTAGGAATGTCTGGTTTTCTGAAGAAACTTGTGGTAGGGCTCTTTGGAACAATTACTCACCTCCCAGCTTGTCTCTAGATGCAAATATGTCTACACTGAAACTAAACTGCTAATGGCTGTGAGTGACACAGGTCATGGCTGATGTGTCCCTCCCCCACTCCAACTACAGGAGCGGCTTGTCTCCCAAATTAAGATGGTTACGAAGGTGATGTTCCTGTACATTCCACTCCCCATGTTCTGGGCCTTGTTTGATCAGCAGGTAATGTGAAACTCTATTTCTGTACATCCTCATTGAGCAAACATTCTTTGGGCACCACCATGTGCCAAGCTGTACTTAGTATTTAGCTCCTAAAAATATTTTCATTTGTTTGATAATTGTTAGTTCACATTGAGTTTCTTTTTTAGAAACCAACTCTAGATGGTTCTATCCACATTTCTCTTGCAAAACCATGAAGAAAATTAGGTATGGTCAAGTGAAGGAGACTTGGGAAAGATTTGATCAAAGTTGATCAGGACTCTTGCCAACCAAAACTGAGAATAAAGAGTTGGTTTTTCTACTGATGCAGCACGGTAAAGGGGTATTGTTTTTAATGGGATCCACAGAATATTTAAGCCCAGAGGGACTGGATATCTTCCACACTAGAATAGAATGCTCGGGCTAGAAGTGCCATGCAGACATGTGAAATGGCTCCACTGAAGTCATTCTTACCAGAGCAGGGAACTAGAACCTGGTCTAATTGCCTGGTCTCTCTGCTCTTTCTCCCTCAACTGTAAGATGCATGCCTAGGAATTTTTAAAAACTGAGGTTAGACAACTCAACGCGTGAAGCTCAGTAGTCAAAGTAATAAGATATTGTTTCCTTTAGAAACTGGAGTTTAAAAAAGTTGACAAACACACATGGTTTTATTGTGCAGAAAGGATTATCACAAGGGTAAACCGTCTCTTGGAAAAAATTTGAGCATACACATGAATCTCCTTATTTCTAAGTGTGGAATTTAGACTGGCATCTAAAGTGCCAGGGAGGCAGTTTTGCATGTTGGATAGGGACCGGTTATTGGAATCAGACTTGCACTAGAAATACACTCATCCCCTTTTAGCTGTGTGTCTTAGGATAGTTCCTTAACCCTTCTGAAAGGGTTATAACCCACGGCAAGGCTGTGAGGAACGAATTAGAGAACACTGATAAAGTGATCAGTGACTGGCATATATGAAGGACTCAAATAGTAGCATATTTCCTAACTTTCTATGATGTCCTCCTAGTGGAGTTGATAGATTATGTTGAAACATTTACGTGTTCAGGCCTCCATGGAAATAATCACATATACTTGTACAGTCCTGAGTCATCTTTACTATAAGATAGGTTGAATGTAACCAGGCTGCCCGGGTTTAAATCCAACACGCTCTTGAAGGAATTCCATTGTAAGACAGCCTCGTCTGTCAAAAATGGCTCTTGGCAATAATAATGTTCTTGAAACTATGCTGCCAGTGAATATAAGAATGTCCTCGGTGTGCTTAGCTGCTTTCACCTTGCCCGAGATGTGCTCTCTGACAACCCTCAGAAATGCATTTTTGTGTTTCCCAAGGATAGCTTTATCGCAGAGTAGTGTTCTGCAGATTCTTCATGAGGGGTTGGAGTCCCCTCTGTTGTGTTAACTTGTACAGCAGAAATGCAAGTTGTCTCTTCTTACTCACCATTACAACCGAGCTTGGAGACTAACTTGATGTTTACAAAAGTTTTAAATCCTATAACATTTTAGACCTCCTTCCTGATTTGGAAAAGACTCAACATTGACTTGTGTTATGTTGAAAACCCGTGTTCCCAAATGATGCAGTAAATTTATTCATTTTTAAGGGGTCAAGGTGGACACTGCAAGCAACCACTATGAATGGGAGAATGGTAAGTTTGGGACATCCAGATATTTCACTTCCCTGGCCACTAATCCCTTGTTTCAGTCCCTCTGCCCCCTTTCTCCTTCCCTTTCATGACATTCCCAACCCGCCCTCCCTCTCAATTGATCATCTGTGGCAATTTGTCAATGAGATTTTTTTCCCCCTCTTTTTAGGGAATTATTGAAATTCAGCCCGATCAAATGCAGGTAGGAGAAACTATGTAAGTTGCTTTCAGAGATCAAAGTTGCCTGAGACAACAGTAACATTTCATCTCCACTTCATCTGCAGACTGTGAACGCCATCTTGATCGTGATCCTGGTCCCCATCATGGAAGCTGTGGTGTATCCTCTGATTGCAAAATGTGGTTTCAATTTCACGTAGGTGACTGGCGGGTTGGGGTTGGGGTGAGGCTCCATTAGTCCTAGGGCTTTGCAAATAGGCTGCTGTCCCCCAGCTTCCAGTGCCTCAATGGAGAGAATGTCTGTCTTCCCTCCCACAACGCCACCTATGTGAGGGGGTTCTTAAAGAAAAGCAGTATTTGAATTAGATGTCTGTATGCCGATGTTTCTGAAAATTTCCCCTTAAAATAAAAGTGCTGTTAATGGTAGCCAGAAAAAGCCTCTAATTAAGGCTCTTATCTATGTAGATGATAGAAATATTAACTATAATTCAAAGTATCACCTGAACTGTAGGCTCTAGAAATTAAATGGAAAAATGCAAACAAGAAGCTGTATTCCATTTGTCCTTCTTAGTCTTGGTCATGAATAAGAGACAAACACTTTCAACCCTTGTGTTTTGTGGGGAGGTCAGTGTTGTTCGGGGAGGATGGTAGGAGAGGAGTGCTTCCTTTGGGGGCTTCATTAGCTCGTTTGTATGAGGTTGCTTGAGATCCACTCTCTTGCTTGTCCTGTCAGCTCCTTGAAGAGGATGACGGTTGGGATGTTCCTGGCTTCCATGGCTTTCGTGCTGGCTGCAATTGTGCAGGTGGAAATTGATGTGAGTTGTCCTCTGACTCTCCAATGGCCTTTCCTAGTGGGTCCAGTGGAGCGTTCAGAAGTCTTCTTCCTCCAGGACTGAGAGGATTAGGGGAGGCCAGGGTCTTTGCTGATGAACTAAGTCCTGGAGCCATGGGCGATGTGCCGCAGGGGGCAAAATAGTCCCTTTCTATCAGCATGCACTGAGGGCTCTTATCACTGCGAAGGACACAGCCAGGAATAGGGTCAAATGGGTGCACTCAACTAGAAGAAAAAACTAGATAGCAGTTCCACAAGGAGCTTCCATTCATAGTGCAGTAGTCCCTCTTATCCACAGGGGATGTGCTCTAAGACCCCCAGTGAGTGCCTGAAACCACAGGTAGTACTAAAGCCTGTATATACTATGTTTTTTCCTATACATACATGCCTGTGATAAAGTTTAATTTATAAGTT